TTAACAACACAGGTTAATATTCTCTTTAAATGCATTTCTTATTATTGTTTTGTATAAAAGCTATTAAAGTTTTGATGTTTACGAAATTCAATATTTCTTAGACTTGGAAGTGCTTTGTTATATTATATTACATTTACTTCAAAGGCAAAATTGGCAAATTTTGGTAGCTTGCTTTGCAGTGGATGATACACTGAGGACAAAATGAAAATAGTTGTACTAAAGGCATAGTTTGCTTCAAAAATAATAAAGATGAAGAAAATTTTAACTGATGAATTCTTAATTTTTATGGATTTGTTAAAGATGATAATCACGTTGAAGCAAAATGTAACTCAAATTGGGAGAGAAGCATGCCAATGAGGAATTTAAAATTGAGCAAGAAAGCAACTTTAATTTGACATAAATTTTGAAAAAAATTTTTTTTTTTGCTCATGCCTAACTAAGGCTTCTTTTCTCCCTAATTTTTTTAAAAGTAAACTTATTTAACTTAAATGATTATTAATTTCAGTCTTAACAAAAAATTTAATAATATCTTATTGTGGCTCACTAATAGCAGCAATGGAAAAATCAGTGGGTACAAAAAAATTCTTCAAATATCTGAAGTTACTGTTTGTGTCTAACAGTGTGGCTGAGTGATTGAAACAGATAAATGCGAAGAGTTCGCCTTAGGTTCGTTGTCAAGTCAACCGGCCGGCTGCGTGATTGTTTTTCGTGGTTTTTCTCCAGGTGTAGCGCGAATACCAGCCAGATGTTCTTAGAAAGATCTCCACGAAAGCAACCCTCATCATAGGCAGCTAGATCATGTGTGCTTTGCTGTATTCAAATAACCTAACCTAACAATTTGTCTTTTGAAAACAATTGTCATTGGGGAAACCGAGCAAAATAATAATCAATGAATTTTGGGAATTAATTCTGAAATTCATAATATTCTTCCTTATTTTGTGGTTTTTCGTTTGTAAGTTGCAGTCTTCTAAGAAATATTTCTTCTGTAGTCAAAATTTCTGGTTTTATCTTGTTGAATAAAATAGGTGATAAATGCCACATGTTCTCTGCATACTTTTCTTTGAAGTCATGTTAATTACTGCTATCAAGATGCACTAAATACTTTCAATTTTGCTTATGATACTACGTATTAGCTAATTACAGCGGAAAATTTTGTTTTTGTGATTCATTTAGTTTGATATTTTTTGGCTTTCCATTAGTCTGGTAACACTAAGTTGCTATATATTTATTTCTTTGAGGTGTATTGCTACATAATTAATAATTTGGAGTGTATTATTAGGGGTGTTTTATTTATGTTAGGTAATATTAGGCAAAGCTTTTGAATTTATGAGTATGATCCAGCATTATCAATTTATCAGGAAAATGACTGCAGCAAAAAATATTTGTTCTGATAACTTTATCTTTTGCAACAAAAGTACGTAGAAAGAGAAAGCGGATCAAATTTCAATGTGAAAGGGACTAATAAAAGCAATTCATAAATTTTAAAAGACTGGATCGTTGACTTTTATTTTTATTTTAAAGATTATAGCCGAATTCCTTTTCTGAGCTTATGCCCAAGTTATCCTCAAAAATACTCTTTTAAGTATTTTGAAGTTCAGGAAAGCATCTCGCTAAAAAACTCAAACTGACATTTTAGTAGAAAAACAAATGTTTGCGGGCAGGCGGTTGACAAGGAAAATAGATATCATAATCCGGAAACTCAGCTTTTTAGGTTTTAAGTTCTAGCAGTTTTCTCAGAAACCATGCATTTGGAAAGTAAACTTCTTGCTAAACATCATCTTGTCAGTTAAAGTGCAGAAGAATTCAAGAAAACATAAAAGCGCAGTGTCTTTTTTATATACAAATGAATATAAAACTGTGGCATAATTACATATAAGGTCTTTAAAAAAATATAAATACAGTAAAAGCCTCGAGAATATTACTGTAGGATAAAATTGTAGTTAATTATGAGTAAATAATTTCGTAAGATTTAAAAATAATTATATTATTATTATATTTCAATTATATATTATATTTATATTTCAATGATTATAAGTTGTTGGATTATTAATAGATAAAATAAAACTGCATTTTAGCACATCTGTCTTCAAATAATTTACTAAGTATATCTGCACTTTTGATGCTTACAATATTATGTCCACATTCATTTAATTAAAAAGAGAAAAAAAAATCTGTTCAGCGTATAATTAAATAATTAATTTAGATATTCAACAGCTATTTTACCACTCATATCATTCTTTGTAATTTTCCTTGCAAAATAATGTTATTTTTTATTTCTGTATATCAAGTAAAATAATCTGATATGTACACCACATGAATTCCCTGTACTTAATATTAAATTATATGCATTTTTTCTTGCATTTCATTTAAACTTATTGGATTGAATTAAATCTACTTCGTCGATACCGCATAAACCACAATACAACAAATGCACTCTTTAAAATTCACTATATTTGTTTACCATAGCGACACTCTGACGCCAGGTTCACTTAACAGCATTACATTTTGTTCATATTATAACTAAGTCTATGTCTATGTTTTATCATTTAGTAAGAGGAAATCGACCATTAACGGCCTTTACCAATATATTATAGACTTTTAAATGCTTGAAGAATCGGGTAAGTTGTATCCAATAATATGGAAGTATTTGTGCACATGCTGTGCTAGAACTTAGAGATTACTAGCGACGGAGGCTCCTGTGCCGCCGTCCGTAGAATAAGTACACTTTGAACAAATGAGGCGCTGTGCCATCTATTAGTAGGGATAAAAAGCATTTTAGTTGACGGGAGCTCTGGTTGCGCCCTCTCTTGCAGGATGTATTGTAAGGCATTTTTAAAATTTCATAAAAATTATTCTTCTGATAAGCAATAACTGGTAAGTAAAATGATGAAAAACACAATTTGCAGTACATTGAAACGTTTCACAAGAGTAAAAACTATTTACGCACTATTATTTATTTATTAAGTCTACCTGCTTTGGCAGAAACAAAGCCCATAGCGCTTTGTAATTTTATAAGTAAAACTATAAGTGAAGAAAATGAAGTAAAATCTTGGCTAAATAAGAAGAAAACGAAAATATATACATTACCACCGACTATTATGGGGAATAGTGCGGGGCCTCTTGTGGCGTTGTTCAATTGTGAAATCATAATTTCCTAGTTTTTTGATGATATTCTTAGGATGTCATATTATAACTCAGAATGCACAGAATTATATCATTTGAAGAATTATCGAATCGTTGCCACATGTTCTATTCGAATACTATAATAAATCTAAAACGATGTATAAAAGAAATTAAGCAAACAAAACAAAAAAGAAAAAAATTTTTTTTCACAGACGATTCAGTATTTTTCATTCAATTAATTCAGTTCTCACTTCCCGAGAAGGCAAAAATAAATAGAAACTCAAAATATCTATATTAAAAATTACGAAGCATCTTAAACACTTATTTCCTCGAATAAATTCTGGAATGGATTAAGCATGATTTAATTCGCAATAATAAAAAGAGGCGTTATCTTTGTTGTTGCGAAGGTTAGTTTCTCTAGATTGGCAACAAATTCGCTATTTTGCCAAGTTTCAAATGTAAATAAACATGGCCGCCAACGCCAAAAATAATTAGGCTTAGCCGCACTTAAACAACTTTTAAATTGTTGATAACTATAAAGATATGGCATGCAGATTTACTAAAGGCATAAAAACCTTAACCGGAAGATAAGAATAAAATAATTCAATCTTTTTTTAAAGCAAAAAATATACAATTTACAAGCATATAAGCGTAAAGAAACTGAACTGAGATCACTGAGCTGGGTAACTGAGTGGATATATATATATATATATATATACGTTTGGTGCGGCCGATTGACATCAAAATACGAGGTGCACTTCTACATGTTATAGCAGTTCTATATACAAAATTTCAACGTTCTGAGGCTACTCGTTTTTGAGTTATGCGAAATATGTACATACGCCACGAAAAATTCTCTTCAGAATTCATTTTAAATCAATTTTTTAATTTTTTTGGAGGAAAAGAGTCTTTTATTCTCTGCTTACGTACAGATGTCAATCAAAAACATCGTTAAATTGCGTTCGATAGCGGTCCAAAATGGATATTTTCGTTGAAATATGCTGCCTGAAACTTTTCGCGATTACAATACTTTCTTTTTACTTCGTACAACGAAGTAAAAATGTGCAGGGTTTAATAATTATCAACAGACAATTTTGGCCAAATTTTTATCGTGATTTCTTCATGATCACTTCCTGACACCAGTTGTTTCTTTTTGCAAATCTCTGTTTTATGAATTGCGTGTTCAGCACGAGAAAATTCAGTGACTGCTACCTAAGCATAGTATAGACAGAACTAAACGTATTTTAAGAGTAGAAGCCGATGATCTTGTAATGTCATATATTGATTCATTATGACAATAAGATTTGGCTATGTCTCTAATAAGCCCATGCCATTTTTCGGCATTCTACAGAGTGTGTGCGGAAATATTTCTTAAACTTTCGTAAAAATCATGTCAGTGTGATCTATCTCCATTTTAAGCAATTTTTTTTTGTCACCCAAAAAAGCAGTACTTTCTTATTTATCGGATAATATTATTACAATTTTGCTCATTCCTATGTTTATAATTTTTAACTTTTATTTCTGTGCTGGAATTTGTTTTGCATTTATATTTAACATTTTTGTTTATTCTAAGATGCTGATAATTTTTAGTCAGTACTATTTCCTTCTGATAGTTTTGGTACTTGCGTATTAACGCGACCATCTTAGCGCAATCTGATGGTTTTTTTACAGATGAAGAAGTGAAAGTTACTTATTGGTGCAAGTTGGTGGTTTCCACGGTTTTTTTTATTTTAGAAAGATTCTTAAACTTTCGATATTTATCATAAATTTACAAACATTATCAACATATGAAAAGAAAACATAGTTTAGCAATTTAAAATACAAATTTGAATTATCAAATTATCATTACGTGATAGAATTAAAAGTAAAATACTTACATTCCTTTTCAAATATTCCGTAATTTGTTTTTGTGTTGTTCTTCTCCCAAAGTACCCAACGATCTGTTTTCGCTTAAAAAAACATCAGAAAATTGCCGGCACTTCGGCCTTGTGCAACTCTCGGCAAAAGCTTATATCGAAGAAATGCCTTTACTCTTTCTTCTCTTTAGAACATTTTCATCAATATTCAGTATTCTTACACAAATTTTACCTGCAGTTTCTTCGATTGCTGGCAAATTCCACAAACTCATATTTTAAAAACTAAGGCAAAAAATATCAGGATATGTTTATAAAAACCGTTGGAACTTAGAATACAACAAAAAAGGACGCGTATGAAAATGGCGGCGTTGCTTGACTAGAGTTGAGCGCCAGAGTTTGTTACATTCTGAAAATTTGATCACTTCTACAAAGGTGGTTGCATTAATATGCAAGTACCATTAAATTTTTACAATAAAGACACATTCTCTAATTGAAGAGCATCAGGAAATCCATTAATTAATTTAGAAATCTCAATGCAAATCTTTTCACTATTATTTCTTTCTAATTATTTTACTTGAAATTTACTGTACGGTTTCGCTTGATTTCTGTCTGAAAAAATCCCCAAGTGGTATTAGTTGTTCGTGAAATCTGGAAGCCCGCTGCGTGAAGTAGTCTTTGGTAATTCTAATGTTGATAATATTGACGAAACTAGTCTTGGGGAAAATTGCGAATATTGCCAAATGTGTTATGATAAGTTGAGATTTTGACTATTTTTCGTAATAGTAACCTTTTCTTATGGACTGGAGATTTTGAAGTGCTGTGTTTGGTTTGTAATGTTTTATGAAAGTGTGTAATGTTTTATGAAAGTAGTGCCTGAAGGTTTGCTTAATGTTATAAATGAGTATATTATTCTGGATACGACTATAATTTCTGGAAGGAGTGCATAAAATAGAAGGAATGGATTTATGGCTTTCTTGGACGCTATTATACGTATTTATCCGCTTATTAACAGCGAATGTGTGTGTGTGTGATTATGGCAAAGCCTCGAGGGCTATCTGCCTAAGGGAAGGGATGCCTTCGTGGAGGACTTTCTAAGGGAAACTGGCTCGTATACACGTTACACATGGGGAAAACCACGAAAACGCCCATGCAGCCAGCCCGTTCGCGGGATTCGAACCTCGGACCGAACTACCAGTGTTCAGCGACTTAACCGCTCGGCCGCTGGTGGGCTAACAGCGAATGAGCCGAAAGGACCAGATATTTTATTGAACTGCTTACGTGAACAAGATTCTGGTGGGAATCGATAACGTATGCACGTGAAGAAAAGGTATGTTGAAGATTTGACGTTTTATTTATTTATTGGTGTCTGTGTGTTAATTTTTGTTGAAATATTTGTTGTTTAATGTTCTTATATTAGGAAATATGTATTTTTAGTTACTTATTAATCTGTGTTTGTATATTTTTGGTTATTTGTTCGTGCCTGTGTGTTAAGACAGCGGCGAATTTTTTCTGGTTCATGATAGTTTTAACTCTGTTGTAGCTTTCTGATATTGCTTAAGTGACAATAGATCGATGTGTACATGGACAAAGTGAATTTAATGCGCAATGCTTAGTTTATGCAATTCTCTAATTTTCTTTAAAGTTAAAATAGGTCGATATGTACATGGATAAAGTTAAATTAGCGAGCAATGCCTAGTTTGTGCAATTCTCTATTGTTTTTTTAAATTAAAATAGACCGATGTGTACATCGACACCGAGTTTGTGTAAGTGTTTGATTTCTTGTTTTGATTTTCTGTAGGAGGTGGAAGGATCGGCACCATCTTGAAATTGGTGCCAATCCTTCGTGGTGAATGAGTGAGTGACGGAGGACGTGGGCACCATCCCTCTACCGTTACGGTTAATTGGTATGAGCACCACGCCCGCCCTTATCTAGAATGACATAATTAGGTACTTAGGTTATCGCTACCCATTCAGACTTGCATGGTACATATTGCCATACTCTGACTTGCACGACTATTACACATGCCGTACCATATTCGGACTTGCTTATTCATACTTGCATGGTGCATTTACATTCATATTGCATGGTACATATTTCACACATTTCATATTACACATTACATTTACTGAGAAATTGAATATGACTTATGTTTAAGGTTCTTTGCATCCGTAAGGTTCAATATTTACGTTAATTATACATGATTAGATACTTAGGTTAACTCTATGCATTCATTATTATTTACAGACTTGCATGGTACATATTACACACAGAGAGATTGATTAATACTTATGTTAAAGGTCCTTTACATCTTAGGTATTAGGTTAACACATAGTTTAACACTACGCATTCATATTGTTTACAGGTTTGCATGGTGCATATTATATACATTACATAGTACAGCTTATATTTACTGAGAAGACTTGCATTGTACATAGTTCACGCATTACATAATACAAATTACATTTCTAAGAATTTAATTATTAATTAATAATATTAATTAATACTTGCATGGTACATTCATACACATTTCATAGTGCAGTTTACATTTACTGACAGATTGATTAATACTTTTGTTTAGGGTACTTAATATTTATGTTTAAGGTACTTTACACCTGTTGATTCAATTCTTACTATAAGTATGTATAGTTGGGTTTCCTAGGTTAGCACATAGGTTGGCTTTACGCATTAATTATTATTTACAGTTTGCCATAGTACATATTACACACATTGGTACATATTACACATTAAATAGTGCATGCTAATTAATTAGAATGGTACATATTATACATTAAATAGTACTGTGAATATTGACATGGTACATATTACACACAATTACTGAGCATGGAATATATTGCATGTACATATTACACCACATTTACAATTTACAGTTAGAAAAAAAAATTTCTGAGAATATTAGCATGTTACATATTACAATAATATTAACATGGTACATGTTGCACACATAAATAGTACAGATTACAATTACTGAGAAATTAATAGTACTTAATTTCGTTATGTTCAGACTTGCAGAATTGCATTTACTATTACCATATTCTGACTTGCATAACTATTATGTTCTATACCCTATTCAAACTTGCTTGATGCATATACATTCATATTGCATGGTACATATTCTCACGTTACATACTATATATTGCATTTACTCAGAAATTGTTTTTACTTATGTTTAAGGTACGTTGCATCCGCAAGGTCAATATTTTAATATTAATTAAACATAATTATGCATTCATTATTGTTTGCAGACTTGCATGGTACATAGTACACACATTACATAATATTGATTACATTTACTAAGAAATTAATTAATAGTTAATGATATTAATTAATACTTGCAGGTGCATATTACTTGCTTATTATAGTACAGTTTACATTTATTGAGTGATTGATGAATACTTGTCTTTTAAAGTACTTAATACGTTCAGACTTGCAAATCCAGGCTTGTATGATACATAAACATTCATATTGCATGGTATATTTTTACACATTACATACTACATATTGCGTTTACCTGGAAATTGAATATAACTTATGTTTAAGATACGTTGCATCCGTTGAGTTCATATTTACGTAATCATACTTAAAAGGTACTTAGGTTAATTATGCATTCATTATTATTTACAGACTTGCATGATAGATAGTGCATACATTACATAAGACTGATTACATTTACTAAGAAGTTCATAATAGTTAATAATATTAATTAATACTTGCATGGCACATATTACACACATTACATAGTACAGTTAACATTTAGTGAGAGATTGAATTAGTGCTTAAGTTTAAATACTGAGAGTGTTAGCATGGTAGCACACAATACTGGTGGTACATATTACACACAATTACTGAGACGTGGTACATATTACACTTATTTACAGATTACAATTACTTAGAATATTAGCATGGTACATATTACAGGCATTTACAGATTACAATTACTTAGTAATATTAGCATGGTACATATTACAATAATATTAGCATGGTACAATATTACTACAATATTAGCATGGTACATATTACAGACATTAAACAGTACAGTTTACAATTACTGAAAGATACATAAGCAGTTTCTTACAATTCTGTGCCAAGTTTTACATAGTGCATATTACAAACCTGCATTTCACATACTACACACATTATATAATGCAGGTTATATTAATTTGCATGTAATATACATGCAGAAAAAGTCACTATGTTGAAATATTGTAACATTACTAATTGCACAAGTAAAGGTAATCTGCAGATTGGGTTACAGTCTGTATATAAATAGTCTGATGTGAAAAATAGACATAGTACATGCATAAATTTGTGATTCCTATGTAGTAGTCGCCAATCTTGGCGGCACAAAATCAACGATTCGCCAAGCGGAACACAGAGTAAAGATTAACCATTATTTTCATTATCACTTGATGGCTGAAGACATTTTTAGCAAGTTTTTGTTGATTTGAGAATCGTTACTTCTTTGCAATGAACGAGCAAAGATGTAAGCAAAGATCTTCATACAGCAGCAGCATTGTGTGTATTTTGAAATGTATTTATATTTTTTACTGCTGCACAGCTATAACTTTATATTTTTAAAAACGTAATTTAATTAAATGCAACTTATTCCTTGTTTGTCATCAAACGATTTATTAGAAAATAAATAAATATTAATAATTGTAGCTAATATGAATTACTCAGACGCATGCCAAAATATTAATAACATACGTTACCGTGAAAGACCGAAATTGGAGAATGTCAACATTCACCAAATACGTCGGTGAAAGATCGAATATTGCACTACATTCTTGTACATTCGGACCCTTACCGGTATGTACGACAATCACAGATATGCTCTGGTGTAAGTCGAAAAGAGAGGTCATAAAGTGCCATAATAGTTTAAGTAGTTGCAATAAATAAGATTTGAATCACATAATTTAGTAAAATTTTTATTACGTTATTTTATTTTCTCATTAGAACGTACTGTATAATTAAGTAAGTTTTAACTTCTATTATTTTCCTTTCTCATTTTGAATGATTGTGTGTTTTAGGTTCTATGTTCTTCAGTTCTTATTTCAAGTCTCCATGGCGTTTATTCGCGACTGAATAACGGAGAAGAAAATATAATATTGTTATATGTTCAACATTCACCATTAGTACATGGTGAATGTCGACATTGACCGGTGTAAGTCAGAAATAAGAGTGTTTGGAAAGTATTTCGGACAATACACCAAGCGACTATGTGAATGTTGACATTCATCGGTGAAAGTCGACATTCTCCTGATTTCGGTGTTTCACCGTAACATATGCACAACGTTTTACATTTAAGTACAGC